CTACATAAAAGCCAGTTTTTTGGTCACATCAGCTGTTTTAAGTAGAAACCGTTAAACACAGTCTTGGCACATATTCGATCAAGATGAAAGTGCAATGAACTCTCGACAAGTAGAATCAGCTGAAGGTATGTCCGGACGATTTGATGACCAAAGAAGTGTATAAATTTATACCCCTAAAAATCCCGTTTGTGCTTGAAAAGTGCAAATCAGTTACTCTACGCAGGACTGAAATAGCCATTTCTGACACATAACACTGACTCACACCTGCAACTCAAATGATTAAGTCAAATGGCTGATTCCAATTGACAGCAGTATTTGTTTCTGCTTCTGAATCGAGACATGAACGACGTTTAAAGATGAATAGTCGAAAAAAGGTCTAGGTAGAAATATATAAGATACTGATAGTACCTCAGCATCAAATATGGTTTTGGTCCGTAGGACCAAGAGACGGCGTACTGGTCTACTATATGCATAGACTTAAAAAGTACAGGAACAGCAACGTTTCTTGAAGATGACGAGAAATGCAAAATGAACACTTTTTCTGTCGCCTCGTCGGGAGGAGGGGTAACTAGCAACTTAATATTTAAATGTACAGATTTCTAAACGAATGAACGGCCAGTGAAATAGCATTCCAGACATCATTTGTGCTGCAGTCTACCATTCGCAGCAATGGTTCGCAAATAATGTTATGCGTGGTCTCATCTTCATGGCCGTTGTAACGCTGACGGCTGGGCTACATCATTCAATGGTGGTTTATGTAGCCCGCAACACTCTGCCCGCTCAAAACCCAACATTGATCGTAAAAGTGAAACATGTAACTATAAAAAGTAGAAAGAAGCTTTTTACAATATACGAAAATCCTACAAACTACAGAGGCACAAAATAGAAGTAACGTTTCATGAGAGTCAAATTCAACAGTGTATAAAGAGTTAAGTTTCAATAGTTCATTACAGTGGCTAGGTGTTAAACCATTAAATTTAGCTCTATAATGCTCGAAATTCCTTTAAGAAAAATGGAAACCTAAGGTTCAAAGGAGTAAAAAATGAACATATGATCATACTGCGAAAAAACCTCGCCAACTTGGCAATATGAAAGAACTTCCGCATACCTACTAAAATCGCTTCGTCATGTTTTGTGACCCGCGATGGCTTTTTGCAGCTGAACAAAGAACCCATTGACAGATGTTCAGCAAACGACAAATTCGATATGTCAACGCCAAAGTTAATGATAAGACATTAGGCAAAAGGATGTTGCAGCACCTGCAGCAACGATTCAATGAAACGATTAGAATATCACGAGAATGTGGATTTTACATCACTGACACCTACCTAAGTAATTTGCAACGCACAGACTTAACGGTCACATTACGCCATAGGAGAAACAATCTTCAAACAGCGAACGTGTGATTCAGTGCTAGAAGTGTGCTCTTAGATCAGTCCATTGAAAATCCATGAGTACAGTACAAAACATGTACCTGCTGATCATTATTTCATGATTCTACAATCGTAGTACTCATCCGTGCAATAATAACGAATCGAATATTTTTGGCTCTACATAGATAGTCATATTGAGAAAAGAACAATGCAATAATTTATCTTTTAATAGAATATT